AACAAAATTAATCAATCATCAATGGCCGCTAGTGCTTCTCCAATGGCGAGCCAGCTCAAGAGCAGCTTTGCTTCTTCTCTAACCAGGGGACAGGTCATTCCCAGAGGCATATCAGGTGCTCCTTTTAGGGTATCCCCCACCAAGAGAACCCACTCTTTCACCGTCAAAGCCGTTCAATCTGATAAGGTCAGTATGACTAGTTTTCTTTATCGGATTTTCTTTTTGTTTATTGGGTTTTCATGGGAAATTTTTAATATCCGGTTTTGTGCAGCCAACTTACCAAGTGATCCAACCCATCAACGGTGACCCCTTCATCGGAAGCCTCGAAACTCCGGTGACATCCAGTCCGTTGATCGCATGGTACCTATCCAACCTGCCGGCGTACCGGACGGCAGTGAGCCCACTTCTCCGGGGAATAGAGGTGGGGCTGGCGCACGGGTTCCTGCTGGTGGGGCCATTCGTGAAGGCGGGGCCATTGAGGAATACGGAGATTGCAGGACCTGCTGGATCGTTAGCAGCAGCTGGGCTGGTTGTGATCCTGAGCGTGTGCCTGACAATGTACGGGGTGGCGAGTTTCAACGAAGGTGAACCCTCGACTGCACCGGGACTAACCTTGACCGGGAGGAAGAAGGAGCCAGACCAGTTGCAGACTGCTGACGGTTGGGCTAAGTTCACCGGAGGGTTCTTCTTTGGTGGAATTTCTGGTGTCATCTGGGCTTACTTCCTTCTCTATGTTCTTAACCTTCCTTACTACATCAAGTAGATGATGATGTGAAATTCTTCTGTATGTTCGTTTTGGATGGTGATTGGAAATGGACAGTGTTGTAAATTTATGTCTTGGTGATGATCTTTTCAAGGGCGATAGTTAATAATTGAAAGAGAGGCAATCGTCCTTGAATTCGTTTAAGTATTATTAGCTACTCGATCTGATCATCGGGTAGAATTCCGACTTAATCACACGCATATAAATTTTCAACAACCTCTGTTAAAGCTGTGAAGAGTTGCTCGTATCGTAATTCCTTATTATTAAACCAAATGATCTTTAAAAAACAATCACAATTTTTTCATTTTAAAGATATTTTTAACCCTTTAAAAAAAATTTAACTGCAATAGAATTTTTATTTTATTTAAAAATATAATAAATGAAGTTAAAACTTTTGTGATTTTTATATATAATATCAAAATTTTAACATTAAATAGCTATATTATTAACGAATAATTACTTTATTTAGTTATTTGTGGATGATGGTAATACTGTAATATTACTTATTAATATTTTTATTTATTTGCTTAATAACTCCGATATTTTAAAATTACGGTGAAATAAAAAATATGATATATTTTAAAATCTATTGTCTGTTACATATTATTAAATATTCACGCAGGTACCTGAAATTAAGAATTGAAGATAAAAATACATTAAGTACTAAAATTTTAGTTAAACGTTAAATTGAACAAAAGAAACTTTAGTTGTTTACTTATTATTTAATACTATGAGTACCTTCATAAGACGGCACCTATTACTGTACCAGAGACAATTCAGGAGCTGCTTTAACCATTCTTTTACGTTCTAATGAAAAGCTTAAAATGCAAAAAAAAGAAAATTCATATTTCCTGAGAAATCCGAATGAAGATGTTTTTCCTATTGGCTTCAAGCCTCTCTGCGGACGAAGTACAATTTACCCATGACATGAAGAATGGCAACAAAAGCTATAAAACCAATGCTCATGACAAGCACAACATTTGGAGAGATCTTCAGTCCGGGGGCATCATCTGTGTAGAACTGGAGCATTGTTCCAGCTGCCCCTCCTGATGCACCACTGCTGCTTGTCCTTCTCCTCCGCAAACTTGCAGCAGCAGCTGCACTTCCTCTTGGGGGAGCTCCTCCACTCAAAACCATATTTTCTGCCGGAATAACCAATCCACATACTCATTAATTTTGGAAGTTGTGATGATAAAACTTTATCCGTAATGGCAAAAGCACATAGGAAAATTGCCTAAATTCAATCTTACTTTTATCTAGCACAAGCAATCAAATGGTTCTTCCTCAAGTTTCAAGTGAAAACATTAATCATATAGCACAAGCTATCAAATGAGTTATTGCAGGCATTGCAAGTTTAAGATCAAAGAACATGCAGCTTAGGTTATCCGTATTGCTTACAGAAGAAATTGCAAACAAATTAAAGGAGATAATTTCATATTGAAGTTCCCATCTAATATAAGCACACAGTTAAGGAAACACATTATCCAAATACTTTATCAGGTATTCCATGTGTTCAATCATTGAGGATGAAACAAGGACTTAGCCCTACACAAATATTCGTATAATATAATAAATTGATTGTGGCATATCTGATTCCATAAGATGCTATTCAGAATCCTCCATATTGGCCATAAAAAGCTGTATTTGGCCATCTTTCAAACTGATGCTAACAAAAAATTTACAAGTATTACCGCAACTTCTTAAGTTGCATCCATCAGTGCAGCAACCACACTTTTATTCCAATTTCAATATTGTGATAAATTAAATGGAGCCACCACTAAATCTTTAAAAAAAAAAGCATACAGAACAAAAATATCAATAGCAAGATTGCGAAAATATCCCCGTAAGGAAACTGAAATACAAGCTATATATATACTAGTCAGGGGAAATAAAAAATTATTCAGGAGGAAAATATATTTATATACCAATGTAGAATTGTAATAACGTGTATCTCATATTGGTAGTCATATGTGAGAAAGTGTAATATATAATTGTGTTGTAAAGACCTTAAAATTATACATCGTTAGTACTAGCACTTTGAGCAATAGGCTTTCACTTTTGAGCTATACGCAAAGCCTATAAAGGGTATGTGTAAAACCTCAAACTCAATATCATGTTGGATATAAGGGTTCTGTTTCAATTGAATCCCGTTTTGTGTTTAGCCCCATTTGTTTGGAAATGCAAAAATGCAATCCATTTAAGAAAGGAAATTTCTCACACTCTAAATCCTGATAACACTACAGTTTGTGACCTCAATACCTCAAAAGTACCAATAGCTTGCAATTTCAAACTAGAGGCAATCTCTTATGTGAGCTTGTGGTTCTACAAGAACTATACAATACTAAGATCAAGGGGGTATTATGTAAAACTCCCCCCTTATTTTATCAAATCTATCGAATTGGTGTCCGAAAATTTTTAATTGAATCAAAGAAAAGCTTGTAATTCTTTGGCACATACCAAATTTTATGCGTCAAACTAAAAAATTTATTAACTCCGACATGTTCTTTTAACAAAGGCAACATAGTGTTTTTAACATGATATTCTCAAAAGATTACGCCCTTGAACAAAAAATGTATAAATTTTGGATTTGACGCGTGAATTTGATGCATGTAAAAATTTGAGTTCTATTTGGTAAAATAGAGGAAGATTTTTAAACAATATCTCTAAGATGAAAAACAAAATTCAATTCTAACAATTTTCAATAGCTCGAATAACATACTTTGCAAAAATCAGGAAGCATAAAATATTCAAAAAAAACAAACCCAAAAGATACTTTTAGATATAAAAAAGGGAGAGAACTGATTCTGCAAGTGAACCTTCTAATCACAACCATAGACTCATCCTAACCCCTAAGCTATATGTAATAAAACATTACTAGAAACCATTGCTAGTGCAAAGAAACAGAAGCGCACACATGAATGTAATCGATATATGATTGAACCCACTCTGGTCCATTGAAAAAAAATTATTCACCAACAAACTGACCCATGATGAGACCAATACCTAACTGCTTGTCGAGTGACTAATAAAACAACTAAAAGCCGTGCTTTGTCACCCATGAAAGCTCCATATGCCCCAATCAAATTCTCCAGATTTAATTCCCTTTTTAAAGTACCAATGGTTGATTTATGATAACCAAACAGACTACCACCCAGATTTTCCCACATGACAGTTCCATAACAAATTCAATAAAAAGGAGAAAAGATCAATCACAATGAGACATAAAAGGCAAGATACTGAACAGATTAGCCAGCAGAGGGAGAAAACTAAATGGAAACCAAAGCACCTAAAGAATATGCTTAAATCAAATCAAAATAAACAGGAAAAACAGGGGACTATGAAAATTCAGAGCGTACCCACACAGAGATGCCGAAATATCTGGGCGCAAGGAAGCCTATGCACGCTAGACCGGTGGCTGGGGACTGTAGGAGGGTTTCGACAGACGTGCCGAAATTTCTCGGGTTTTAGTCGGAAGATGGACGGGAGTACTAATTGAACGCCCTGAATATATAGTCATAGATGGCGTGGCAGCAAATTCTGAAAGGCACGAATCAGCTTCGAACACGAAAAGTTAACCAATAGATTTAAGCCACGTTAGATGTAAAATATCTGCTCCTCACTTTTATATTAATTTCGAAGTGGTTCTTAACTTTTTAAATTTAGATTTAAGAAACTAACTTTTTATTTTTATTTTTTAATTAAGTCATTTGCTAATTGTCATATTCGTTTCCAAATTTGATGTTTTTTAAAGTTTGATTCTCAATATTTTTTTTGTTACAATTTAGCATCAAATATTTTTTATTTATTTTAGACGATCAATCTTTTTTTTTAATTTTATAACAAAAAAAAGTAAAATAGTTATAGTATACTTAAATATTCTGAAAAATAATTTAATTAACTAATCAAATTAGTTAATGAATAAAATATTATGTTTATTTTGTATTGTTATTGATTTATTAACTAAAATTATTATTTAATTTTTAAAAAATTCTCAAACACCATTAAGTTATTTTTATTTTTTTGAAAAAATAAAAAAAATACTTATTTTTTATTAACAATACTTAGTATTATACGTAAAAATTGAAATAGATATTATTTTTATTAGTATAGAAAAAATAATGAGATCATAATAAAAATAACTGAAATTTTGCTCATAGTATTTAAAATAAAATTTGTATCGTAAAATAAATAAAGGATACATATTATTGAAATTAAAAAAGTTATTTATTCACCGTTATTTAATTATATTGATAATATTTATTATGATATTTTAATTATGTCACATTTTATTTATATTTTTCTTAGTTAAAATTTTAAATTGTGTAATTAAATTAAAAATAAAGAAAAATTTATAAAACGTCAAATGAAATTTTATATTATTTGAACTTATTTATTGTTTAAATTTATATTTTAATATTTAAAATTTTTTAAAATATAAATAATGATGTTATGATCTTTACCTAATTTTTTTAAACCGACAAAAACTATATTTATACTATAAATAAGTTAAGAGTTTAAGGGAGAAAAAAAACTCCTATAACAAAATAAAATTTTTAATCAATGAAAATACAAAGAATAATTGATATATTTTATTTTATGTAAATGAATTAAAATATATATATACTTTTTTAAAAATACTTTAATTAATTTTAAACTTATTTTATGAACATTCATTATCTATATAAATTATGTACCACTGAAATACTCTATTTTCTTTTTTTTTAAAATAGCATTTATGTGCGTATTAAAAATTTATAAGCTCTAAAAAAAAAAGCAACACGTGCGCGCAATTTAACACGCGATCAGAGCCAGAAAATCCATATCGCCTGTTTCGCTTCCCTTAAATCCTTCTTACCTGAATTTGAGCCAACGGTTAAGCAGCCTTAACTGTCTGCTTGTTTTCCTTCCTTCTGCATTTCTCTCTCTCACATAATACCATGGCGGTTCAGTTTAAGACTCCTAAACCCTACGCTCGCCATTGCCAACTCCCCATTCTCTCTCCTGCGACCTCTCCCTCGTCGCTCTTTTTCCGAAGATCTTATTCTACGGTTAGAAACGACAGCAGAACGCCTCACAGACTCACCTGCAGATCCAACGGCGAAGATGTGCGCTTCTCAGTTTGATTAACATATTCGATTTTTTTACATTTATTACGCACCGTTATTTTAACCCATTTACTTTCCTTCGTAGGATTATCTAATAGACGCCCCTGTTTCGGCTGGAGATGGCTTCTCTTTTAGTGGAGGTACCGAGTTCACCTTAGTTTATTTTTCGTTTTTTTTTTTTATTTCCTGGTTTGGGAGTTATGTTGAAATGAAGGAATTATCATTTTGTTTAATGATCGGATTGATTTGGTCGTTTGTCACAGGAAAGTATTCAGATGAGCCGAGTCCATCAGATGAATGGTTTAAGAAAGGGAAAATAGTAAAGTTCTATTTCTCTGTCATTTTGCATAATTAGAACTATTGGGTTGATATCTCTAGAATTAATGAGACACCTCTATCTTGTTTGGGTAGTAAGATTCGGTAGGAGTATCATCTGACATCATTAACCACTGGACTAAACAAGATGCTCACGCATGTAGCTCAAGCCTCAAGGAGCCTACATTAATGGAATTGAAATAATCACAGTAACAACTGATATTTGTGTCTGTTTTGATTACTCGTTAATTACTGGGTAATTGTAGAGTATTTTTTGAATAACTTTCAAACTTTTTTAGAATTTATTTGTACCAAAACATTGGGTTGTCTTCCAAAGAGTGCCAACGGTGACTTGCGATTTTCATGAGCAGGTGAAAGCTCATTCTGTTTCTGGTTCTGGTGATAAGGCAAAAGATCCAATATTTGGACTTACAATGGGTGCTGGTTCTCAGGCTTCAACTGATTTATTCAGGTAAAATTATGCTAGGAATACTTCTGGATGTTGTCCCATTTAGTTATTTTAGGTCTTTATTTGTATGCAAGAAATTGAAATTTGATTATTTGCAGGGTTTACCAATTGAAACATGCTATCTCTATATAATTTTGTGCAATAGATGGTTCTATGTTGAAAGTGGAAGTGTTGATAGTCCTTCAGTTATACTAATTCATGGTTTTCCTTCACAGGTAAGTTCATCAAACCAAAGCTTAAGGCTACATTTGAAACAAATACAAAATTTCTGTGGAATTCATTTGGAAATACATATTTTAACTATAAGATGATAAGATCCTATTTGTAATGCTAAAAATTGAGTTTGTATGGAATTGTACGTGGAATTGGAACAATAGATTCCAAATTCTGTTAATTTTAATGGAGTCTGGAATTCGTTGTGTTAATTCCATATGAAATTCAACATTGATTCATATTTCTATATCATTCTAATGTACTTAACAATATCTACTAGTTGAATTAAGTGTGAATTGACAAATGAATTCCATGATATTTATGACTTCGTTCTAAGCAATAGCCTAGATAATTGGGATTCTCCCATCCTTGGTTTTGGAGCTTTCAAATATTCTTTCTTTTTTTGTTCATTTTGACATATAATTCTTACTGACAGGCATATTCCTACCGCAAAGTTCTTCCCGAACTTTCCAAGAATTATCGTGCTATTGCTTTTGATTGGCTTGGTAAGATCTTTTTTTCAGTTTACCTTATGTTTTTAATATAATGGAAGGAAATAAGTTAGCTTGAGATCTTTTTGAATAGTACATTTTCAATGTGAATTTGTATTAGCATTAACACTGGCTTGATGTGCCTGTCATGAATTTTCTTAATAAGCAGCTTTGTTCAATCTTTCATATTACATTCATCATGCTTCACAAAATTGTCTGCTAACACAATTTTGTGTGATTTCTTTCATTCTATGGTTAAGAACTATTTAGTTAATTAGGAAATTGTTATTGTCCAGATTGTCTCAATTGAACATAGCCTAACATGATTTCCATCCTCAACAACTTCTTCTACAGGCTTTGGCTTTTCTGATAAACCTCAACCCAGATATGGATTTGACTACACATTGGGTGGTATATAACTAATTAGGCTTAACTGTGTATGATTTCTCTATTTTAATGTCTTTGATCCTACAGCAACATGACAAAGATAGTCTTTGCTCTAGTAAATTTTGTTTAATGTTACAGAGTATGTATCATGCTTGGAGTCCTTAGTTAATAAAATTGCCACTGGTAAGGTCTCACTTGTGGTTCAGGTATGTTTGATTTGGCTGTATTTTGACCAACAGATGCATTGTAAGAGTATTTCACTGAGTGATTTGCGACTCACCAACTTCAATTTTGTGATGTCTTCTCAGGGCTATTTTTCACCAATTGTGGTTAAATACGCAAGCAATCATCAGGAAAAGCTTCATGATCTAATACTACTGAATCCTCCAGTATGGATTTCCTTAAACTGAAAACTAAAGCTGTTGCTTGATTAGGTCTGCCCTGCTGATTAGTAGAAGCCAGGCCCTTGATGTTCTGAAAAAACAATTACCTGCTTTATTTTCCCTTAAGTTTCCATGTCTTGTTGCATTTCAATCAGAGAAGTGGGAAAAAAGAGTACAAAAACCATTTAATTACTAGTTCCAGTCCTATTATTATTAAAATGTTTTTTTTAGTGGAATTTAAGCATTCACTGTTCTCTTTCCTCTTACTGATAAAAGCATTTATAACCAGAATGAAAGAAGTTTTAGTAATCTCATGGAGCATCTATCACACATACATAAAAAGTGTTATCTGAAATTATTTCATGCATATTATAGCAACCTAAAGAGTGTTGACTTGATTTCTTTCAGTTATGTAACTTACATAAGGCTCTTTTATGCTTCAGCTAACTGCCAAACATGCCAATCTTCCGTCAACTCTGTCCATATTCAGTAACTTTTTGCTGGGCGAGATTTTTTCTCAGGTAGGTGGTACTCATATATGTTTACTATCTTATGTTTATTTGCGTATATAGTGTCTGTCTGTGCTTAGATGATGTCTTCGTTTTTCCCCTTTGAATTCATAACAGTCTGGGTGGTTTTCAATGGTTTGCACCTGGTAACCGTGTTTGAAGGTTTTTGCTCTTATTCATAAACAGGATCCTCTAAGGGCTAGCGACAAAGCATTGACAAGCTGTGGTCCTTATAAGATGAAAGAGGATGATGCAATGGTTTATCGAAGACCTTACCTCACATCAGGCTCTTCTGGATTTGCATTGAATGCAATTAGTCGGGCCATGAAGAAGGAGCTGAAGGTGCAGTTAGTTTCCTCTTTACTGTGGTTAAGTTGCTAATTTTCATTTTTCTGACCTTGTAATCTTATCAAAGAGGCAATTCGAGCCTTCTTTTTGAGTCTGTGTTGCCTCTTTTTCAAGTCAGCTCCTTATCTTTACCATTATCTAATGACTTGCAATCCCTTTTAATTATATCTCGCTCAAGTTTCTTGTATTAGTGCACTTACAGAAAATCTTTCTTCATTGTTGTTATGCTTTTATCATCTCCTTGCTGTTACTCTAATGCCACACTAGTAATGAGTTGTGTATCATTAGTAATCACACTACTAAAACTATTGAACTGGCCTCTCCTTGGAAATGCTAACATCATCTGGTCCAGAAAATTGATATAGATCCATACTGTTGTTTGAGCGCAGAAATCTAAATGACACAGTAAAGAGGGTATAATAGGTAGTAAGGATTGCAGAACCAAGTCATATTCCTTGAACATCAGAATTGCAATGAGAACACACTGATTGACCTATGCAGCATATAGCAACATGTTCTGCTCTGTATTGAAATAAGTTGTTGCAATATGCATTCAAGTTTCCGAACTTCTATTCCTCTTAGGATAGTGGTGAGAGGTAAGTAAGATTTTCTTTTCTGGTTGTTTGACTTGACAGAACTACATGGAAGAAATGAGGAGAGTACTCACTGATAAGGATTGGAAAGTACAGACTACAATATGTTGGGGTCAACGAGATCGTTGGTTAAGTTATGATGGAGTGGAAGATTTCTGCAATGGCTCAAACCATAAATTAATCGAACTTCCTATGGTACAAACTCTTGTACCCTTGTCATTCTATTGAATGGTATACACATGTTTATTAATTCTTACATGCAATATAAAATTTTGGTTTTTAACTGCATGAGTGCCATTCATTCAGTACTTTCCCTGAAATTGTTTCCTCATACAACTTATATCAAGGGTGAGCTTTTTGTCTCTTGTCAGAGGGACAGTCAATGTGAGACCAACACATACAATCCATCTTGATCTAGTTTTATTCTGTTTACCTCGTTACTAGAATAACATTGCTGCAGAACGGTATCATAATTTCATGTTTGAACCATTTTCACCATACTTTGAATTTCTTGGAATGAATTCTAATTTCTCTTTGAAGAATTAGAATTTGGACTAAAGAAAAGAAAAAATTAGAATTTGCTGTAGCCTGTTTCCAGAACCAAAAATGGAATTCACAAAAAGCCAGAATTCAGCGTACATAGCCCATTTCTGAAATAGTAAAACGAAGGCAATATTTCATAAAGGTTTTTGAAGACAGATGGAGACAATCGTCTTCTCCAGACTTCCCATTTGAGAAAATTGTCACTGTTATTGGTCAATGCATCCTGTTGCTTCCTTTTGAGGCACGACATGTATAGGATAGAAGATTTTGGGCATTTCATAGATAACATTACTGAGCTGTAAATAATTTTATATTTGGGTTGCACCCCCTTGGTGCTTCTCTTTTATTTTACTTTTATACTTTTTATCTTTTTTTTTAAAATCCATCCTGTTGCTCCCTGTTTTTGTTACCGGTGTCTCCTGTATCCTGTACCTTGGTGCTATGCTTCCTGCTTCTGATTTTATTCGTGCCTTCTGAACTTAAAAATTGACCTGCTCTGTTTAATAAAATGTTAACAGTGGGTGTTATCCTCTTCATAAACCACATCTATCTTCTTTAAATACTAAGGCTCCTAATGGAGATAACTGTATAACTACCTCGTTGCTTTTGCAGGCAGGGCATCATGTGCAGGAGGACTGTGGTGAAGAACTTGGAGGGATTATCTCAAGAATTATCAGTGGAAGAACACCTATCTTATGATCCAAATAAAAGGCAGAAAGAATACAGTAGTTTTGTTTCTGGCGTCCCTGTTTGTCCTTTTGAAGAAGTCACCTTCACGTACATATTTATTAGATGGCTAAACAATAAAAAGGTTAAAAGAAATTGACCGACCATTCTGTTCAACATATATACATTTTGCTTTTCTTCCAATTTCATTGCCTTGTATGGGGCTTCATCTAAAATCATCAATAAACAATAGGGTCAAGGGACCAACATTCCTCATCAATTCTCTTAACCGTTACAATGCTATTTGTAGTTCTGGAAAGAATTAATACCCTAGCTATAGTTACAAGCTTTATTTAGATTCTAAAAAATGGCCATACAGATATAGTACATGTAGCCCGTGTTTCCATTGTAACAGCTTCAATAGCAGAATCTCGCCATTGCCAAATATGTATGTTCTCATAATGGGCACTAGCATCTCTGATTTTGTAATTATTTATATGGATCAGTCCAGCAATCATCCTCCTTTGCAGCTTTGTTCCATCTATTTTTGAAGACCTCTAATTCGATGAGTGACCACTTCCGTACCTGCAGAAACAGTTTCACGAAAGCTCTTATGAGCCTCAGGTGACCGACCAGCAGAGAATAAAGAAGGCCTAGCCCAAAGCAGCAGCTAAATGAAGGCAAACAAATGGTTAGAGTTTCTGTGAATCTTCAGCAATATTTCATAGCTTACCTCATTTCTGTCACTGGACACATTTTTTGATGATGTTGCCTGCAAATTGGGAGATTGTTAAATTACAGTGAGAAGGGTCAGGAATGTGAAAATAGAGACAGGTTAGGTTAACAATGTGGGTTTTCCTGAAGGATGTGAATTGCTTTTAGCAGTGTTCTCATTGTTTACCTCCTGACCTCCAAGTGTAGGAAGACCATAATGAACTAAATACTCAGAATCTACGACACCGACATTTTTCGTTCGGTCACCCTGTAGAACAGTTCAACGTAAGAAAGCTGTTCAAGGAAGTAAAACATAAAAGGGGGATAGGAAATTGCCTGTGTACAGTAACCAAGCTGAAAATCCACACCCCATCCATAGAACAAGTCATTCTGTCAACCAAACAATTTAAAAAGCAGAAGAAAACAAATGAGAACACTAAGCACCAATGCGTTATCCGGATCTACTCCAAGGATCATCGTCTTTTACCTGAATCATATGCCATGCACACCGCCAGGATGCCCTTGAGAAAACTGGAGCCATCATTTCTACAAATCTGTAAATGCATAACTACAATTATTCCCAGATAACTTAGTGATTTAAATTTTGATTCATGTGAAAAATTTCAAGGTTCTCAAATCATGGAAGCAAGGGTAGGTTAGTAGGTTCTTTTACCCTGTACAAGGAGGACCTGTGCTGCTGTTGTCACACTGAATCCCCTTCCTCACCCTATTAATCCTTCTGGTAACACAATGTACGCAGACCAAAATAGTTGTCAAGTTAGAAAACCTGGAGTTCCCCAAGAAATAGAACTGAAAATCCATTTTCCAGATAACATTTAGCACGCTATCAAGTCCCAAGAGAAGTTCTAATAATCGGCAACTCTACACTAGCATTCTTATATATGATATATATATTTCTATGTTCCATAACATAATTTTCATGGAGAAATTTGAACCTATGAACTCTTGATCCACGTTCTCGTGCTGTAATAGGATGGTGCAACTCTGACTTTCTGGGATCCAGAGCAGGCTGTGATATTTCAAGACCTTCTTCCTTAATAATTGACAGATATCTGCAGAGAGCAGGAGGGTAGTCTTCAATTTTTATAGAAGAAAACAGCACTTTTGAGTATCTAAAGGTTACGCACAATATTCACTTAGATGTTTTTTTTTTAAAAAAAGTTTTTTCTAGCCTCTGGTAGTCGACAAATTTTGGAGATTGAAACTAAATTGAACCAGTTCTAAGCACTATTAAATGCAGGTTTTGAGATTTAAATACCTCTGGACATTAAAATGGTACACCCCAAGATCTTCATCCCACAGGAATATGTAAGAATACTCCGAAACAATATCCGGATGTAAGAAACGCTTTGCAAACCACCTAATTCATACGCAAACAGACTTTAATCACTCTAATATTCTGATAACTGATCATGCTTAAAAAGAATGTTTCAAATTTACCAGAAATAAGGATCATTACCACTTGGTTTGATTGATGGCAGACACATGAATAGCACGGTCACTCCACTGAAAATCTTTCCAATCATTCACAACTCCGTCATAGTGAAATAGCATCACAACAAAATCACTTGACGAGAACTGTGAGATCGAAGTGAAAAAAAAGAAACAATGTTAACTACATAATCTGAAATTATTGAGATAACGAAAATATGAATGATGGTTGAAGTAATGACCTTCTTGATAATTTTGTCAACGCTTTCTTTTTGCTTTATCCCAACAGCCATGGCCAATAAGTTCTTTGATGATTTCTGGTTCTACAAAAAAGAAAAAGGAAGTGGCCTAAGACATAGTTTTTCGCCACAATCTTCATACTATTTATGGTTTCCATGGAAATTTAAAGAGAAATTATATCCAAACTAGAATCTGAATAAGTAACAGTTCAACTCGAGTTAAGATCTATATGATTATATGATTAAGAGTTACTAACGGGCTCACCTTTTTCTTTGGGGAGCCCCATAATGGCTTCATTTCCAGGTCAGATGTTTGAGAAACAATACCTTTAGGTAATCCCTCGGTTCCAGCCGGCCTGGACTGAACCTAAAACACATGATATATTATATCGAAACATATCCGTACAGGAATGAACTTGGGTGTCCATGGATATGAAGAATTCAGCAAACCTCACAAGTATTTGGTTTCGGACTGCTCACAAGAACAATTGACCTCCACGGTAAAATGCTCTGCAGATTGAAGTCACAATTATAGATTCTTCAAAAGGGAGATAAAAAAGTTCTTTTACAGATGATCTCAATGAGTAAGTGAATCAGGTAAAACAGTGAATTAACACATTTGGTGAATTTCCAGGATAGATTTTTACCAGCTTATAGTCTGCAATGACAAATGCACTGCCAATGAGGAAAGCTGCAGAGAGCACAGATAATATCTGGTAGACACGGAGAAGAATTGAGCTGTGTCTTTTAGAGTTCATATTTGGAGATATCTGAGAGCAAGACAATACGCAGATTATATATGAGCTGCAGGAAATATATAGATATATCAGTTGACACATGTATATACATACCATATACATATACATATACATATACATATACATGGTTGATTGCCTATAAAGGACCAAATATACACAGACTGCAAAAATTTACTTCAAGTTCACATGAATCAACGCAAACCCCTTTACCAGAAACTACAAAGAATGACAGAGAGAATGAACTTACAGGAGCTGATGATTCCATCTTCTTCAGGTGTCCATGCAGGGACATATACTGAGAATATCAAATACGTAGAGAGAGGACAAACAGAGGTGGAGCTTCGCTTAATAAGTTGCTTAGAACTCCAAAAGGCTTAGTAAATGACATGGAGAAGACGAGAAATTCGAGACAGAATAAACTTATTTATTTATTCATTTCAAAATATTTTGATTTCTTTATAATAACAAAAGAACACCCATCAACGTGCCGGAGTTACGCGATCCCGGCGCCAACTCAGTCGACGGAGCGGGAAAATTGTCCCGTCGGCCACCTCGCCAGCACGCCAGAACACCAGACTTGTACGTCGTCGACTATTATTTATACGAGCTGAATGTTTCTGGTAATTTGCAAAAAGAAAAAAAATCAGCAAAAGAAAGAAAGAAAAAAAATGATGAGATGTTTATTTAGAACCTTATTATAAGGCAGTCAACTTTGAATTATATAATTATAGAAGAAAAAAATTAAGATATTAAACATTTAATAATTATCATCTTCATTTGTTTGGTAAAGAATCAAGAGATCGTACCCCGATATATATATATATATGTATTTTTTCTAATTATATGATTCAGCTTTTATTTTTAATACAAATTATAGAATTTAAATTAAATAAATTAACTTATAAAAATATAAAATAATTTACGTACTATTTGTGCTTAAACTTTTTTCTTTTTCAGTTATGCTTGAGATTCAATGAAAGTGAAATTATAACATCTTTTATATTGATTAGACAATAAATTTGATTTTTTTTTTTCGTCCATAATTATAAATTTTTTTTAATGCAAAAAAAGATAAATCCAAAACTAATAGATACTTTGAATATGAGAATTTATAAATTTTAAAAATATTAAAAAATAATAAATTGAGTTAAAAATTAAAAAAAAATATAAAATTATCGGTATAGAAAAATCCACAAGACATTATAATTGAAATTTTGTGAGTATTTCAAAAGAAAAATATAAAAATCTTGGGGGTTTACTTGTCAACCCTTTTAATTTATTGAAATCGTGACACGATGTTCTATCATGTTATCTGCGGCATGCAGCAAAGTGTCAATTGCTTTTTCCAATTTCTTACTTCTTTATAATATTAGTAATATATTTTAATGTCATATAATTGATTATTAACTTTAGTCAACCTCAACATATTCTATGAGTTAGTGCAAAACGCTACATAAATGCGAGGATGCATGTATTTTAGCAATACTAATAATTTATAAAGATATGGTTTACATAATTTCAATTTTTTTTTTTATAAAGAAAGCACATATAAAGATATATATATATGTGGTGTGAAATGGGTATTATGTGTAAATGGGTTTTATTTATATATAATTTATTTAGCAATAAATCTTCGTAATCTATATATTTAGTGATAAATCGTCCTTATGTTTATAAATGAGTAAATATGTTTAAATCTATTTGATTTATTTATTTTCAAACATGTAATTTAAATTCAGATTGATTTATTTACTTTACAAATTAAAATTATTTATATTTATATTTATTTCATATTATTTTATGTACATTGAACACATAAATTATGTATAAATATGTAGTTATATACATATTTTATACCTTTTAACTCAATTTGTTTTCGTTCGTTAGAACTACAATCCTTAAGATCCAAGCCGTAAGCCTAAATCTTGGCTATTAAATACCAAGCCGAGTTCTAATCATAATAAAATCTCTCGTCCCGCTTAAACCATCACAGCCCAGGCCTAATGAAGAGCTTGAGACGGCGTCGTTTCCAAGCTATGTTCCCCATCATCCGATTCACCGACATATAACTAGTGATGGCGGAAATATAATCAATAAGAAGTGGCGGCGGAAAATTTGACTGGAACAACCAGTGGCTCGTCGTTGCGAATAGTACCCGTCATGAGGAACAAGTTATTGACGGATACGGTTAGGTAGATGAGCAACGTTCAACAGGGAGCCTGTGTAGATGTGCATAAAGAAGCGATCTGAATCTGACTCTTGCTTGCTTAAACAGATGGATAAAAATGGCGGTGAAAGGGCGCAGGAAGGTATTATGTAGTTTTATTTTTCTTTATTTAGTGTTTTAAATTTAGTATAGGGGTTTTTAATAAAATGTGTGGTTTCTGATTTAATTTTTAATAAGCTGGAGTTTCTGCGTATTTTCTCAAATGTTCGGACGAAATTGTAATTTGGCTTGGAAAGTTTGAAAAATGACTGAAGATTCTTATAATGTTGAAAAAATTGACAAAACCAAATTTAATAAAAGGATGATAAACATTATATATGAAATTTTCTGGATCATTTTGCACAGCCAAGTCTTTCTGTACAAACACGTTATGGTATAAATTAGATATTGTTTTCCTGGTCTAGAGAACGAGTACCTTAGAAGCATTGAGATATATTTATATATGTATCTATATTTATAATATATAAAAATTCAACGTATGACTTTGGCTGTTGATTCAGTCCATTTTCAAGAGTTTGACAAACCGATGGAGTCGAGGAGACTTGTATGCAGGTGACAAGTCCTCTTTTGATGCATGTGGATACGTTTTGTTATCACCCTTTTCTACATACATACATATATATATATATATGCATATATTAGGGAAACATCACTAGTTAATTTCCTCGAATGGAGATGAAGAGGAAAAACCAACTAACTTTGCTTACATGTATTTTTCTTCTTAGCACTTTTGGTATATTACGTGGTGAAGCAAAACCCTCGGGGGCTGAAGATATGGTAGTGGAGAATATAAACATTGGAGTGATTCTTGACGCTGGATCATGGCAGGGAAAGATTATCCAGAACTGCATTTCTATGGCTATTTCGGATTTCTACACACTTCATGCCCATTACAGAACGAGAATACGCCTTCACAAGAGGGACTCAAAAGGACAGCCATTACGTGTTCTCTCCGCAGGTGATTTTTCCTTACTAAAAGAAACCAATCTGTATATGAACTTCTTTTCTTCTGTTACAAGAAAAGGATGGAAACAAACAACCAACTTAGCCCAATCTTCCAATTTAGTTGGCTGTAGGAGTTTCACTTGTTTCAGAATGTCTAATTTAGACCATAGCTTCCGACAAAAGGGCAAGCTCCACATAAACCCGCACCGACATGCAAGTATAAGCATTCTTTGTGCTGAACAGTTAGAACTATTAATGGACACCTACTGGATGTGAATTTGAATCCCTGGTGTCCCATGAAAAAAAATTGAGCCCTTTGCTGCTTGGGCCATCTAATCCCGGTGGTTAAATCTATATATATGACTCGGTAGCTTGCAAGTGCTTCTTGGTCCATCTTTTAGTAGCAAATTTCTAGATGAAATTCATTGAAGACTAAGGAGTGGTTTTGGTCATGCTTGCCGCTAAAACGAGAACAGAAAAGAAGTTGAAATAT